AAACCCAACAAATCCGGATATTTTGCAACGAAATTGTGATCCTGTAGGAAGCGCAAATGACTACAGAGTCCTTTGAAGTTTGATATGTAAAGAAGGATTGGGATATTTGCGAGAGGGGGATAATACTAATGAGAAATGACGATATGGACAATGATAAGTGATAGCAGCAATGACAGTGGTGGTGACACCAACTAGCACGAGTCAGTGATAATGAGCAAAAAAATGTAAGAGCAATCAGCAAAGTAATACTAACAGTAATAATTGAAGCTATGATAGTACGAATCATATGCAACTCAATGAATTATATATGTATGTATATAACGATTACAAAAACAACTTAATTATATAACTCAAAACAATTATGATGATTACTAAACAATAAAAATTATAACAATAATGATAATAGCAAGAACAATCATCATCATCATCATCATCACCATCATCATCATCATCATCATCATCATCATCATCATCATCATCATCATCATCATCATCATCATCATCATCATCATCATCATCATCATCATCATCACTACAACCACCATCACCATAATAGCAATAAGAATTATCATACTAATCATAATAATAACCATCATCATCATCATCATCATCATCATCATCATCATCACTACAACCACCATCACCATAATAGCAATAAGAATTATCATACTAATCATAATAATAACCACCATCATCATCAATCAATCATCATCATCAGACTGACAACGGTGAATTAAGGAGGAGGATGACGCTGACAGTAAAAAGCAAAGGTAAACATTAAAAGAGCCAAACACGAAAGAAACAGACGGCAGCGCCCCAGAGCAAAGAAGACCCGAGTGAGGAGCAGCATCGCCATCCAGTGAAAACGAAGATCTACATCAATCCTAGGGAGAAAAAACAAAGAAAAAAACATTACATAAGCTACAGCCTCGAGGTTGCAACACGCGATCCCGAGTACAAAAAGGGACGGCCAGCGCAGGAAAACAAAACAACACACAAATAACGGCCAACGAGAGCAAGACTTCCCCGTCCTTTCCAGAGCACAAAGGGACACGACGCGATCTTCCAACAAACAACAGAAACAACCAATTCGTGTGTTTGTGTGTGCGTTCGTGCGAGTGTGCGGCGTGGGTCGAGGGTGTGTCCTGTTAGGCGGCCGGAGTGCGAGCGCGGGCGTGGTTCTCAAGGCCGCGGGATTCTATTTAAGGCCTTCGCGCTCGCTGGGAACTACCACTCGCTCGCTCGCCGCCGCCATGAAGTCCATTGTGAGTCCAGGCTTTTCCAGGGATCTGTTTGCGCGATTATATTGTTAGACAACCGTTGGTAGTGTGTGTGTGTAGATTCACAACACACACACACACACACACACACACACAACACACACACACACACACACACACACACACACACACACACACACACACACACACACACACACACACACACCATATATCTTATACAGGTGCATATTTCCACGCACAGTCTACATGCGTATAAGTGTCTGACGTGCAGTCTCGTTCCTCGACAGTGCCTGCTGCCTTTCGTGCTCGCCTCCGTCATGGGGGGCACCACCCTCCTGGGCGCACCTTACGCCGTAGCCCCCGCCGCCGTGGCTACTCCAACGTGAACCTGAACGTGCCCGCGCCCGTGCCCGCCGGCGAGGCCCCCGCCCCCGAAAGTGCTGGTCCAGCGCACGCCCGTCAAGGCGCTCGGCCGCCCCGTCATCTCCTACACTCCTCAGGTCACCGAGGTTCGCCCCGAGCTCAAGATCATCGAGAGGACCTACGACGTGGCCGTGCCCAAGCCCGTCTACGAGACCAAGGAGGTCACCCCCATCCAGCACAAGTACGTGCCTGAGCCCTACGCCGTGCCCCAGCCCGTCGCCGTGCCCCAGCCCTACGCCGTGCCACAGCCCTACCCCGTGCCCGTGCCCGTGCACGAGCAGGTCCACGTACAGCACCACGTTGCCGCCGCCCCCGCCGCCGTCACCTACGGCGCTGCCCACGGTGTCGTTGCCCACGGAGCTGTCGTCGGCGCTGCCCCACTTACCTACGGAGCTGCCCACGGAGCTGTCGTCGGCGCTGCCCCACTTACCTACGGAGCTGCCCATGGTGCTGTTATCGGTACCCCTCTCACCTACGGTGCCACCCACGCCGTTGTGGTCAAGAAGGATTAGGACGAGTGTGACCCGAGAGAGCGAGCGACGGCACGGAAGGAAGCAAGGGCCTGCGCAGAGAGGCGCTGCTTAGCCCGCACGAGGGAATTTCAGCGCAGTCTCTTCCAGGTTCGAACTTGGACATTTTGTGGTGATTTTTTTCCTCTAAATTTCTTTCAGAAATCAAAATAAACTATAAAGTATCTTCCAGCATATATTTGATTTACCAATCTTAAAAAATTAAATCGCTTTCCTGCCATGCAGATATATGTTAAAGCACATGCAAAATTGCATAAAGCCAAAAATCTATCAAATACACAATGAATTACAAATTATAAAAAAAAC